ACTACGCCAAAAGGGAGGGCACGCATCTGTATTTGTATGTAGATGTAAAAAACTTCAAAGCACACACACTTAACGTGCTCAGACACGCACTAGTACACACACGCACACACACGAGAACATGGCGGGCGGAAACGGAAACGAAAGCGAAAAAATGGGAAAAATGGAAAAGCGATGGCGCGGTGGCGGCTACTTGATGTTGATGCCACAGATTTTGTTACACTTTGCTCTTGGCTAAGCGTTTGCTAAGCTGTTCGGAGGGGGCCAGGGGGGCAGTGGGCGGGGGGCGTGGTCCTGGTGGGCGGAGGGGGCGTGATCCAGGACACGTGCCGCTGCATTCGATGCGTGACAATCGAGGGGACAGCGCCCAGCTGAAGTGCAAATTGGTTTAGCATCAAATCATTTTTGCGAATCATTTCATGTCATCGTACATATCGAAATATATGTGTGTATACAATATGTATGTATATATTCGCCATTTTTGTGGCATCCTTTTTATGGCCGATGTGTGACAGATTGAGTTCGTTATTTGTTTTGCACATTTTAGAGGGGATTTTTTATGATGGCTGGTTTACAAGCGGCAATTATATTGTTTTGCGGTTTTACAGTTGTTGACAAGGTGAATTGGTAACTGTTTTCAATTTATCGATTGCGAAAAACCCTTTGACGTATTTTTCTCACTTTTTTTCGATTTTGACCTTTAACATTTACCGGGAATTTTTTGTCCAATTAGTCAATTAAATTGTACTTCCTTTTTCATTAAAGTTAAATCCCAAAGAACCTTGTGGATTAAGCTTTTAAGGCTTCCGCCTTTTTTGATTTGGCTCTCAGGTCGAAAAGACTGTGTGTACTCGTTTTTCCTCCTGGATTCCTACTTTGTTTCGTGAATTGAAATGTAACCAAGCTGATGGAAAGTCTAATTGCAAACCACAACACAACACAAAACAGTCAGTAAACTTTGTCGTTTTTCAAAGCTGTTTCTAAGTTGTTGGCACACATCCCCATCCCCATCCCTTCCGAAGAAGTTCGGCACGGCAAACTTCAGGCTGCCAACCGAAATGCCTGAAGGCACTCTCACTCACGCACACAGATACATTTACAGACAGGATGCGACATCCTACACACACACACACGCACACAGGACTCGTGTGTGTACACAGCTGCGGCTCATTTGATCGCTGGGTTTGGCCAATTGACGGAGGAGCAGACTTTGTGCGTAAATATTTTCCAAAATGTTTGCTAATTTGACTCGAGCTGCTCCTCCCCCTTCATCCGTTTGGTGCCATTTGTTTTTCCAGGCTCAGACAAAAAAGAAAGTTCCCAAAAGTAGAGCAGCCCCGAAAACACCGACATAATTAAAACCGTAAACATTCCACTGGCGGCCCCAAGTTCACTTGGGACTAGTGCCTACTTATGCGGGCACGGCTCTCCAATCAATATGCCCATTAGGAGGACCAAATCAGGTTAAGTCGATTGCTGGTAGTCTGAAACTAGTTTGCTAGTTTGTACTTGGTGGGATTATTAATGCCCAACATCTCCGACCTCTCTATTTCAATCTGATTTACGCATAATAGACATAAAAGACTACACCCAAAAAAACATGATATGAAACGATGATCAATTTGATATTATGTGGTATAAATTTTGACATGATATGCGGTATACCAATTCGATATGCTCGGAATGTAAGCAACATGTTTTAGGTAGCCAAGTTGGGATTTCGAATGTCAAAATGATATTATTTAATTTTAATTTTACCAGTTTTGCATGGTAAAACGGCATATTTAACGGTGTAATTATCCTGGATTTATTTATTATTAAAACCCCGAATAAAAAGTTATAATTGTATCTTTAAACGCATAAAAGTTAATAACGGCAGACCACGAAGTTGTTTTAATGCTTTAAGGAGCCATGAAAAGTTTTTAAAGTAATTACGAACTTATCTTTGAAAGTGATTAAGTCAAGTGTTCTTCACTGGCATAGTATTTGTATACCGAGCAAAAATGTTAGGAATTTTGGCTTAAAGTTGGCTCGAAGTTGACCCAAATCAATAGGCCAAGTTCAAGTGCTCGAAACAACTTTCGCTCTCATTTCGGCACTTTCAGTTTCGGTTTCAGTTTGGCACTTCTCACTCGTTTTGGCCATAAACAGGTGGCGGCAACTGTCGTTAAATATACATGAGAGCGCCCCGAACGCATAAATTGTCATTTAATGAGTGCGTGTACACTGCACACTCACTGTATACAATCGGACTCCATTTCATCCCCATCCCCCTCTTCCACCCCTTCTCCATTACCGGGAAATTCGCTTTGTGCCCCGAAGACTTTCCAAGCTGGCTAACAAGTTTGTTCCATTTTCCGAGGCGGCTGGCATTTTGAGTTATTAATAAACCGAGTGTCGCACACACAGGGACATGTGGAACGCACTAGTTTAGGTTCACATCAATATTTACTCTGCCCTGGCCAAGTAATTGATAGCTTATTGATTTACATGCACGAGAACTACCTTTCTTTTTATTCACTCGCCTGCCTTCGCTCTCGCCTTCGAACTCTCCTTTCTCGCCTTGATAGTTTTCTAAAGAGGTTCAAAGCCATTGCCTGGATGTCTATATATGTTATGCATGAATATATGGCTTTGTGGCGTTGAGGAGGGGTACTTCTTAGTGAAATTGAAATTGAAATGGAAGAAAGTATCAAAATATTTTATTTTATATATTAATCAAAGGTAAAATCCCCCTAGAGTAAAATTAAAAACATGAACAATTGTATTTTACAGTGTGATCAAAGTTGTTGTGTAAAAAATGTGAAATATAATTTTTTAAAACACACAGCTCAATTGTGTTTTTTACACAAAGAAACAACTCTAAAACACCTTTAATTTTTAAGTTTCACATTTTAGTGTCAAAAACTCATTGTGGTAAAAACATGTTGTGTAATAAACACGTTGAGCAAATATCTACGAAGTAAATTATTTAATTTTATACGTTCGGTAATAAAATAAAATATATAATTATAATATTATATTATTTTTAATTTCAAGTACCTAGTCTTAATTATTTAAATTTCGAAGGCCTTCCCCACAAGCAGACAAATTAAGGTAATTGCTGTTAGCGCAAAAGATCAGAATTCAAGAAAAACCAACTCAAGCGAGAAAAGTGAATATAATTGGTGGACTTTAATAAAAGTTGTTCTTTATTTGCTTCGTAATATTTACGTTTGTGCAAATTCATATCCAGAGAGCTGTGGGGCAACAACAGGGAGACCTACATTTCTTTTCAATAGGCCACGAGATAAACAAGTGGGCGGGGGAAAAGGAAGAAAGGAGACAAGGAGAAAGTAGAAAGGAGCCGGGAGTCAGGAGAGAGGAGACAGCTGACTGATTAAGGCGCAATTGGAAGCTGTCTCAGCTGACTCAGCCGCTGATGATGATGGGCTTTGCCAGTTGCCGCAAAATACTCGTGCAAAAATCCCCCAAAGCCACACACATTCACTTCCTGCTCAAATCCACTTCCACTTCCCAATTCCCAGGCCAGCCGGCAACAACAAGAAAAAAACGAAGGAAAAACCGCCCCAGGCTCAGAACTCATAAAATTACAATAAAAATAATATCACAAGGCTAAAGGGAAAAGACCCACCGGAAACACACATAAATCTCGTCATAAGAATACCGGGCTAAGAAAAGAAATTCCGGGAAACTTAGCAAACATCCATTTGAGGTCGAGGGCCACGTAAACGTGGAGTAATTTAATAATTCACATTTATTGCCATTTTTCCCTCAATATTAATTCACTTAGTCTGGTAACTTTTTAATTTAAAATGAAGACAATACCAAAAGCACAAAGAATTAAATTAAATTTCGCGAATCTCCTCGCTTATTGACACTACTCAGTAAATATTGTTTCGTAAAAAATAAAGCGCAATTGAGCGCATCTTCCACGGGATTCCGAATTATTTGCAGAATTAAATACAAGTGAAACCCCAAATAAACGTTTCTATTTAATTCGCATTTTTCCGTTTAATGAACCACTGTGTAAATATTGAACAATAGAGTCGTTTAAAAAGTAATAACCTGTAATTAAATTTAGGTAAATAATTTATTTATTACCTGCTGTTTACTGACAGCCGCATCGTTCGTTATTAACCGCTTTAACTAACGTAATTAGTATTTACCCCTCTTTATTATAATATATTGGGGGCCTAATGAGTCCACTGTACATTTTATGTATAAAAAAAAAGAAAATAGAATAAATAATTATGCTTAAGAATACGACTTTAACCTGTACATTTTCTGGCTAATTAAAGGAGAACCCATCCAGATCCTTGATCCTTAGCCCCGCATGCCCGAAACTCTATAAGACTGGCAAGATTAACGAAAAGCCACCCAACTCTGCAAATATGTAAAAACGAGCGAAATAAAAACACCATTTAACATTTGTGTACAGAGGCAAACAAGCGAAAAGAGCGACATGAAGGGGGAAAAACAGAAAAAGAACAGAAAACTTTTCATTTTATGACGCATTAAAATAAAAGGTCGTAAAAGGCGGGACAAAATCATGAATGCTAAAAAAAACAGCAGGCTGCATCAATAGACAAAAACAAAATGCAAAAGGGGCCAGCTTTATGTGCACACAAACAAATAAACAGGCGGGCAAACAGAGAGTGAGCAAACAAACAAACAGATAAATACAATACATATAATTCTAAAAAACACTAAAAACAAGGCAATAAAAACTCGAGCTCGAATTAAACAAAATGCGACATGTCCACTGATATCCAGGTGAAATATGTACATTGTATACACACAAAAAAAAAATATATGCATATATATTTATTTATTTATAAGCCCCAAAAACCACACATAATATGTACATATACCCATTTGGGCGGCGTGTAACCAACTTTCTGTCATTTCTTCACCTCCATCTGTCCATCCGACGGCTGCTGCTCATGATGATAACGACGATGATGATGATATACTGATGATATTTTATTGCCCCACCAAAGTTCCACCGACAGTGGCACCAACATCGTCCACATCCACATTCACACCGACCAAAGGCGACAGGGACATGGCCGCTTCACCCAGCTTATGGACCTCCTGCCACTGGGCTCCACGAAACTGGCCACCAGATCCGAGGGGCCCTCCATAAATCCGAGTCCCAATCCAAATCAGTGTCAAACATCTATATCATCGTCGCTGGGCAGCCCGAATCTCAGCTTCCACAGCGAGGAGCTGCTCCTGGACATGGAGACCGGCGAGGAGTTCCATGAGCTGCACAGGTAGTTGGTCTAGGTCCCTCACCCCGAGAATCCCCGAAACAGAAATCCCGAAACAGTAACCGAAACAGAAACACACCAAAGACACAAGACACCCCCAAACAGATGCCGCTCGGTCCACTCGGGCGCATACTTAATGTCCTGCCAAACAGCAGGGACCTTAATAAAGCCTTAGTAAAGGAAGGAAAAAAAGACAATAAAAACAGCGAGCTCAATATTTAGCTGACAAGTGGATGTTAAGAGAGAGATATGGGTATGCACTGGCCGAAAAGTGGAGCAACATCATTTGAGATTTTCCAAATTTCTTAAAAAAATAACAATTTAATATAAATATTTAATAAATATTATAAATTAAAAGTGTTAGTGAGATTACCATTTCAGAACTACTGAAATTTATAATTTCTATAATTATAATTATAATTATAATTATGTATATGGTAGAAATTTACATAAATTAATAAGAAATAGTTAGTAAAAATAGCATATTTCACAGACGACATAAACTAAGTGTACTTAAGAACTATACAAAAAATGCCTGCATGTGCTATGAATTTAATCGAGGAAACACAATCGAGGAATATTTATTTATTTAATAAATAAATCATACATATAAAGCACATTGTGCAAAATGGTATGCAAATTAACAAATGCTGTGTCTATCTTAATTTATATGCAGGCATTTTTTGTTCAGTTATGCAAAAACATTTTCAAATTGATTTCACTTTATAAAAGGTTGTTATTATAATAAAATACTGGTATTGTTTTCCGTGCAGAAATCAGTAAAATGTTAGAATGCCAGAATGCTGCGCTGGGCATGTTTAATGATAACATTTTTTAAATACCACGCCCCGATATTCCAACCCTCCGAGCGAAAATCCTCGATTCAAGGACCTAATTGAAGTTCGACTCGAAATCCATCCAAATGAGAGTGAACGTAATCCTCCTCAAATCACGACAATGCGCACTTAATATCAATAAAACAATGCGGCAGTCCAGAAATCAAAGTCTAAATGGAGATTTGGGTATCTGAGCTGGCAACTAAGCACCCAGCTGGGTATCGTCCTACTACTCGTACTCGTACTCGTACTCGATACTTAAGCACGCGAGCCACCTTTGTCGCGATGAGAGATTGGGATTAGAATTCGAAATGAGGATGAGTGGATTAGGTGACAGCGGTTGACCGCCCACTTTGGACGCCCATCCGACCGTAGGTATTATTTCGGGCCAAATTTAATTTCCATTCGGGTGAAAATTAAGTAATTATGCTGTTTAGGCCAGGTGGGTAGCAATTAGCGCGCATGTACATGTACTCCATGAGTCAGCAAACTGACGGCTTAATTGGCATTGTATTATACTTGGTAAAGTGTTCCCGTTTGAAGCACTTGACAGCTGCATTTTCCAAGAACTTTGAAGGCAAACGATTTCATTTAGGAGCAGCAAATGAAAACTAAGATCTAATTTACATTGTGGAATATCGATTCCAATTGGATTGTTGAAAATTGGAATGATATTAGGGTTGTTAAAAATTCAATGGTCGGAAAATTAAATGTTGATCCAAATATGGATAAAAAAACGCAACGAGTTTTTCGCTGAAACAAAGCAGTTTTTTCGCTAAAACAAATGAAACTCTGAATCAAATATGGATTGTCATATCTTTCTGAACTCGTTATTAAATTTCCAATCGATTTGCATTTAAACCTTGAAATTTTATTTTTTTTTAATTTTTTGCAAAAAATAATGGGGTACCCCCTTATAAAAAAATTAAAAATTGGCAAAAATTTTATTTTTTCAAAATCACACGGAAAGTATTATGGATTTATTTATTTTTTTGTTATCTGTTCAAAACAGTATATATTTTTGATGTCGGACCATTTTTGGCCAAGTTACAACAAAAAGACAAAAAGAAAAATTCAAATTTTTACCAAAATCAGATGCCAATTTTCCACAAAAAAATAATTAATTTTTTGACCGAAACAATGGAAATGTAGATTCAATCATGTATTATCACACCTTTCTAAACTCGTTATTAAATTTCCAATCGATTTCATTTAAACTAGCACACTTTATTTTTTGCCATTTTTATCACCCCCCACAACAAAATCCTAGATCCGCCACTGTAAGATACTATAATTTTCTCCCTTCAGTTACAAGTACTTCAATGTTAATTGTGGAAAACTATTACAATAGCAATATACGCAGTAGCAACCTAAACTGGATGTCAATTAATTACTTACTTACCCCATCCCACTCTTTTGATTATTCGCTGCAGAGCAAGGCATTCGCCGTGATTTAATTACTTACCTTTCCATTTGCACTTTCCATTACCATTGTAATTGCCAGCCAGAGCTTGAATAGTTGTAAACAAAAGTGCATGTTTGAGTGTTCGGACAGGATGAGCGGATTGAAATGTCCCCGTTTGGCATTTGACACTTCCGCGACGGCTTACCGCGCCATCAATCACGCCGATATGCGGCAAATTAATTAATTACTATGTATTCCTACAGCAGCCGTCGATGAATGGCGGCTGCGGCTGAATAATGTACGATGTTCGAGGCAGAATACCCATACCTATACCCACGGAATCGAACTGTCCGACTGACGAGTGTATAAATCGAATTAGCGTCGCGACTTCCATTTTCATTTATATTTCCATTTTCATTTCCATTTAGATGGCCTGCGATGGTCAGTGGGTCTCGGGGTCTTGGGGTCAGTTGGCTACATGGCAATGCAATTAAAGGATGAAATGACATGATCCCTGCCCTTGGTCCTTGGCCCTTGGCCCTGGCCATCTGCATCCGCATCCGCATCCACACTCGAATCCAGCAAATTACCTGCCCACGAAGGAGCCGCCAGCCGTTCGGCCTTGGCTCTTGTTGACATGCCGCTCATTCGATTTGCCTTTTTCCCCTTTTTCACCGCGAGGTCGATTTGATTTTCTGCATCCAGTATCCTGCATCCAGCGTCCAGCATCCTGCATTATCCTTGACGCATCCACATTGACATTGGCATTGGCATTGGCCTTGGGCCGTTAATTGCATCACAATGGTCCCAGGTGGTGGAGGTGGAAACTGAAGCTGAGGCTGAGGCTGAGAGCACTATCTGGTTTTTCCAAACACCATCGATCAACCGTTGTCATAGCTTTCGGATTAACTGGAGGCCCTTCTCTCGGCGAATTGCCCTTCAAGTTGCCGTCATTAAACCGAGATTTATTGCTGTCATTTCGTTTTGTCTCCATCGAGAATCTAGATTTACCTGCAGGGTATTAGTTTTTATACCCGTTACTCGTAGACTGAAAGCCTGACATCCTTACAGATTTTAAAAAACTTGAAATGGCATTTTGCTGTGTTTATTAACACCTATCGAAATATAGAAGAAAATTTTTAAATTGGACCATTCATTCAAAAGTTATGAGCAAATAAATAATTGAATGCAAGCAGTGCTTGCATATCTTCATCTCTGTCACACTCATTTAGCTGAGTATAGGGTATTTGATAGTCGAGGCACTTGACTATAGCATCCTTTTTTGATTTTAATAGAAAGAGCTGTGCAAATACAGTAGATTCTTCAGCCACCGATATCTGATGATAGGGTACTGCCGTAATCCGATTTAAGCGGATTTATATTTTATGTAAAATGCGAAATACGAAAAAAACAGAGCACTAATCTGACTTAATTATTTTTTGCGTTCGGCTGCAAACGGAAATTAACTATGAAATCACTGCTGACAACTTAAACAACGCCATTTTAAATCCAAACTCAATTAAGCAAAATGTTGCCAGTAATTTATTTCAATTAAACAATGTTCATTGTTTCATCTCCATCTTGATGAAGCTGTCGCCTGGCTGCAAATTAAATTGGCTCTTAAATTCAAAGCACACATACAAATACTAAAAAAAAGAAAATAATAGAATAATACTGTTTTTTTTTAATATGAGAAGGTAATAAAGTAAACTTTATTTTTATGTTCACTTTAATTCTAATAATTTAAAAATCGCAAATAATTCTGAAAAATGTTAAAGAGAAACTCAATATCGTAGAACTTTTTATATAAAAACTCTGCGTTCGAATTTCCATTTAATTAATTCTCTCTTACTTACCAACTGATGATTAAAAATGGGACAAGCAATGACAAAATGCCATTCACTGCTCCGCAGATAATTCTTGGAATTATGAAAGAGAAACTTAATATCGAGCTGGAAAACTTTTTATATACAGAGGGTAAACACGCCCATGCAAAAAGTTGCCGAACTCTATATTCCAATTTGAATTTAATTAATACTTTTGCTTACATTCGTAACCATATTTTTGGTTTTGGCAGCCGTTATTATGGCAATACCAATGGTTTTTGTTATGCGCCAGACGAAGCCCATTATGCAAAAATAGAAATTGTGTTTCCTGCTGCATCGGCATCTCGGATTGCAGTTTTAATCAGGCCGCTGCCTCTGGTGCCTCTGATGCTCCTCGCCCTTCGCTTCCTGCCTCCAAAGAACTCACAGATTTCGCAGGGAATTTTGAATTATTTGGCTTTCGAACCCCGCAAACTGAATCTGCAGCAAAAGCTGCGAAAAGCCGCAAGGCCCTGTAAACTGAAACTTTCTCCCCCTTTTTTGCACCTCTTCCGCGCGGAAGGAGGATGGGAAAAGCTTTGGGGAAAGCCGTTTCCTCATTAAATTTTAACTATTCGCTAAGCGGGGGGAAATACTGTCTTTCAAGTCAGCTCATGTAGCCATTGAGCCATTGTTGCAGCAAACAAAAAATACCTATTTTCCATCTTGTTTTCCCTGCCCCAGGGGCAATGACGTCTTTAAGCTGGCGGATAGATTTATAATGTGTCTCAGTTGCCAAATAATAAGGCGGAGATATGCCATTAAATATTTTAAATACATTTCAGTACTTTACTCATTTAAAATATTTCTAACTTACTCCCAATAAATGTTTTAAAGATATTAAAAAAAATATAGGTCATGAAAAATGTTATTAAAAATACAATAAATCAGTCTCAAGGAGAACTTTGGCCCCAAGATGTTTTTCCCGGAACTACGCATTAATTTGCTGACCAATTTCACAGAATATTTGTTGCAGAAATTTCACAAAGCTCTCCTTTGGCCAGAAAAGATTCAGAAAATAAATTTGCAGCGCTTTGGGAGCAAATGATGAAAATGAAGCTAATTAAAACACTTAGCCCTGAGAGCTGTGGGCCACTTGGCACATGACCTGCCGGCGGAGGAGGCGTTTCCCTTTTTGCAGGACCTCCTTTGAGGAGCCCACCTCATCTGCATTCGTGACGTGGGCTTGCATCTTTATTTAGCACGGCTGCAGTTTTTAATTGCACATTTCTGGGCCAGCATTCGGTTGCTTAGCCCGAACAGAGGAGCCAAACTGCAACTGGGAATGGAAATGGAAATTAAAGTGGAAATGAAAGTGGTAGTGGGAACGGGAATAAAGGTGCGCTGATTGCAGATGCAGCACCTGCTAATTGCCCACCTGTCACTTGCAGCCAGCTCAGAATGCACTCAAAATAAATTCTACAAGTTCACAAAAACAAATTAAAAGCTAATGATAACTAAAAATATTAAATAATAATGATAATTAAAATCAATGCTCTTGGCTATTGATAGTGGTCTCTATTAATATTATCGACTTATTAAAATTTACATGTTCTAAAAATATGCTTGAAAATACACTTTTCTTTTAAATTCCAAAATTACAGGTAAAATTAAATAATTAAGATGATTCTATCGATAATAACACAAAACCATCGATAGTATCAATAGTTCTATCGTTCATTTTACCAATCCTTTCCCGAAATAGCTTTTAATCGTATGTTAATTCAAATTAAATTCTTTAAAATTCAGAAAAGTATTACCTTAAACATATTTAAATATGCCAATATGTCAAATGCACATGTGTTTTTCGCATAGTGCCTTTCGGGGCCCAAAAGGTCGACCGTGTGGGTGGCTAAAATGTGGCCAAAAACCGCAGTTTCAGTCAGCTCGGTCTGACTTGCGGCCAAGTGGCCACTTGATTGTCGTCCCAGGCCAAATTCCAAGCGGAGGAGGAGGGGGAGGAGAAACTGGACTGGATGGATCGGCAGAGGTAGCGATAATTTGCCAAATTGACTGCATTCTAATTTCTGCCACAAAGCACTGCGGAAGGGATATTAAATTTCTGCACCTATTACTGACATTACTGGCCTTATTGACCGACGTGTTGTGGTCATCCATATTGCCTGCTCAATGCATCGATGATTAATGGGGCCTGAAATGGACATTCGAGGCAATCGGAGGGCATTTGTATTTGTGCAACCACAATAAGGGCCACTTTTAATCAGATGCGGTAATTTGTAACCCCAATTTCATTTGATTGGATGGTATTTAGGTAATTTAGATATTCCTTAAGGTATTTTAACATCCCTATTAACTAAGTTTTAGTGACTAGTAAGGGTCTAAAATAATGTATTTCACATCTGTAACACTTCATGCTCATTAAACTCACGCTAACACTTCATTGAAACACCAGCACTTTAATCCTTGTTCACCACAATTTATAGTTTGTAGTTTGCCGAGTTAACTAAACTAACTTTATTTCTGGCACCATTAATATTTGTTCTAGATTCGAAATTCGATAATAATATATTTTTCTTATATATTTTCTTGGCCGTTTTTAAATTTGGAATATATAAAAACTACTTCATTTGTCAAAAATTTAAGATTCCCAGTTAATCAAGCTGCTTTTTAGTTGAAGTGTGTTGAAAATCAGAGCTCTAAACCCCCTCTATTGTTGCCCTTTTCACCCAGATCCACTCATAGGGATGAGTTTGGCACGCAGCGCGTTTACAAGAAGACCTCGCCAAATTGCGTGCTGACCCTATATCTACCGACTCGCGAGATAACGCTGACCGGGAACAATCCGTCCGTCCTGCGGGGCATCGTCTACGTGGATCCGAAGGCCATCCAGGGATATCGCGTATACGCCCAGCTGACGCTGACGTTCCGGTGAGTGTCGCAGCTGCAGCTGCGGAGGCAGTTATTCCGAGATTGCACCTGGAGCCATGGCGACTCATCCATCCCCTGACCATCATTCCAGTTACGGCCGCGAGGACGAGGAGGTGATGGGTCTGCGATTCTGCAACGAGGCCATCATGTCGCTGCATCAGATTTGGCCAAGACTCGAGGAGCCCACGCCGGAGTCCCTCAGTCCGCTGCAGGTAATAATGCAAATTGAAATTATGCATGGTCCGGGGGCTTTGAGGTTCGAAGTTTGAGCTAGGGAATGTGACGACAGTTCGGCGGGGGAGCTGTCCAACTTTGGCATTAACAATTGATGACGTGGCGGATGGCGTCCCTCCATCCACAATTCCCTATTTCTGCGATTCACCGCGGGAAACGCGGCTCGCTGCACTTGACCATAAATAATTGGACAATTTGCGGGGACTTGCAACGCCAACGCCATCGCCATCACTTGGCACCTCGCCTTCGCGTTGCGCTTTGGGGAGCGGATAAAATTTTATCGGGCTTTTCTGGACAAATTTCGAATCAGATTAGTTCCCAGGTTCTCCAGAGATCAATTAAGTTAGATGGGGAAATGCCTTTCGTTTAACTACACAAAGAAGAACACGCCGGGATTAAATCAATATTTGCATGGTAAATACACATATCGGTTTTACCATGCAATACTGGTAAAATTGATATTAAATAATATTATTCTGCCTAATTCTCTCTCTCGGAGATTTTCTGACTTCGAATAAGATAGTAGGAAGCAATGTGACCACTTTATTACGTGAGTGGCCTGTGGTTTACATTTCGAGCATATCAAATTGATATCATAACAACATAATATCAAATTGATCATCGTTCATATCAAGTTTTTTTGGCCGTATGTTCAAAGTAAGTTCAAAGGAAACTTTAACTTTTAGGGCCTTGCAAGTTTCAAAAATCTTGAATTACAAATATATGTAAATTTAATCAAAACAAATCTCACCGAAATTCTTAATTCGAAAATCATCTTAAGGACAATAAAATTATAATAAATAAATTGGCAGAAGGCAAGGAAAGGCAAACGATTTATCACGGTTTTTAGATATAAAACTTTAAAGCTAGGTTAAACTTTAAAATTTCGCCCTCGATTTGCGTATGTTTATTTTAGTACCCTGCGTATGTTTATTTTTATCCCATTTGCCTTGCGTGTATGGTAATGTTTAACTGTCTTCATGACGAACTGTTTCGAATCAGATTGTTTCAACCTGGAGTGCCGGATCAGCATCTACATCCACTTCCACATCCACATCCAAATCATCCCCTGGAATGCGGGCCACTTGTGTGTCCCTGGCCCTTGGATTTTTATGAGCAGCACGTTGAGTTCGAGTTCGTCCGTCCGTTTGAATGTTTAGATGTTTGAATGTTTAGATGTTTGCTTGTTCAGATGTTCGGCTGCTGACATCTCACGTGCGCCCTTGGATATGTGTACACTGTACACCGCCGAACATCGTACACGGGTACATATGTATATCCGTGTATAATGTATACCAAATGATGGTTGCCGTTGTTCTTCGGAATCGGAATGGGTAGCTCCCTGCCTTCGGGCGGTGCACTTAAACCAATTGAAAATCAATTTCATTTAACTAAAAGCCAAACAAATGTTTGCCGTTGCCTCTCCAAATCTCCAAATTCTTTGTGCATTGTTTTTAGGACCAATGGCCGAAGGACAAGGCAAGTGGGTTTTCTGGCCGAAAACTTTTGAAATTCAACTTTTCGCATTTTTATTAAATTTGACATGGAATAATTTGTTTTTCCCATTTTCGATATATATGGACCCCGCCCCAAAAAATGAATTCGGTTAGCCAATGGGTTTTCTCGCTCCACTTCTTTATAATGGACTCGCAGGCAACCGAATTCGTTAAGGGTCCTCATCCTTATCCACAGACACACACACACATAGGCACACGCATAATTAAATAAATTTGATTTTAATAACTTGCCGAACGACAAGAGCCGGCAAAGATAAAGGAAAGCAGGCCAAAAATAGGCCTCTACAAACAGATCCAAAAAAAAAGAAGGAGATGGGCCTGTGTAGAATAATACACTCGAAAAAATACCAGCACAAGCCATAAGAATGCCGCTATTCGATTTAAGACAGATTGGTCTTTTAAAATTAAAATATAGAAATGCATCAATTAAATATAATTAAACTTAGTTTATTTTTGTTCCTAGTATTTTCTTCTTAATTGCTTGTTTTGGTTTTCTTTTGAGTGCATAAAAAATAAATGTTTGCTGTATGTGGCCGTGGTCGAGCTTTGATAGATTTGCAAACGATTGACTTTAATTTGATGCGAATAGACACGACATTTTGATAAAATCCATAGCAAATGGAACTTTCCGTTCCGCCTGCATTTACATATATTGAGGAAACCCCAGCCCTCAGCTTCAGTTGCTCCAGTGCTCACTTGCAGGCCGAAAAGATAAGCCGCCTTGTAATAATTGTGGTTTGGTTCTTGTGGGAGAATCCAGGACAACGGCAGTCCAAAGGACATGTCTCTCGTTGTCCCGGCAACCTGAAGGTACACGCGCAAACGATTAGACCTTGATATAAAAATGATACATATGTTTCTAAATAAATATATACTCTTGGGTGAATTGTTAATGTGTGTAAGAATATTTTGGTTTATGCATTAAATAACTTAATGGGTAAAATTAAAATCAACTTGTTATGCAAATAAAATCCTTACAAAGTCGCAGCGAGGAATTTTAATTTGTACGAATTTATAAACACATTTTATTTTAATATTTTTATTTATTTTCTCCACTTCAGGAGGCCCTGATGAAACGCCTGGGAGACGGCGCCCATCCCTTCACCCTATCGCTATCCTCCTACGCTCCACCCAGTGTCCAGTTGGTTCCGGCCAAGCGATACTACGGAGCTCCGATTGGCACTAGCTACGATGTCCGTTGCTTCATCGGTAAGTCCTGCGAACCCACAACGAATGGGAGTGTTCGAGAGGGATTAGGAAACCCGGGATAGTCGGGGAAAGGAACTCTAACCAAGGGGTGTCCAAAGTTCTTGGGAGAGAGCTTTAGAAAAAAAAACCATTAATATACAAATTATTATATAGAAAAGATTTAACTGTATACCAAAAATCATAATAATCGGACTGTTTTAAAGAAAGTTGCCATTTCTTTTTTTCTTTTATTTATAAGTTTATTATTAGCTTCTAGTAGAAACTTGGGGTTTGCGGTTTAACAGTGTCATTTATTTTTTTATTTTTCTAAATATTTCTTTATATGAGAAACCCCAAAAAGAGTTAAAGAAGAAGAGAACTAACAATAATATAGATTTTATAGAACCTTTAAAAGTAAACCAAGGCAGTGCTGAAATTAAAGCTCTTGGCCTCTTCGAATAGACAACGTATTGCATGGGGGAATTGTCTAGAGCGGAATTTCTTGGGACTGGGTCACAGACAGAAATAAGAAATCAGGCTTTCACCTGAAGCACTCACCCGCATTGCTGGCATCCCCCACGACACACCTGACCCACCTGAGCCACCCAACCACTCAGCTACCTGACCATCTGACCACCTGACCACCTGACACCACCCCAGTCAAACCCATTCAATCGCCATCAAAGATCCAGACATCGTCGCCAACTGAACCCAGTTGCGACTGGGACTGTAACAATCAAGTCGATTTCCACCGTTCAATTATATGTGTATAAATATCCATCTATCCGCCAGCGGACACGCCCCCTTCAATCTTCGTCTATCGAATCAATCGCAATCGCTGACGTCAGCAGGGGGAAATTTGTGATTGATTTTCGTAACGATTCGTTCGGGTTTTATTTTCGTTTTTCATTTTAATTTTTTTATTTTGTTTTTCGTATTTCGAGGGGGTGAATTCTGGTGAAAGTGGACAGCCCAAGTTAATAAAAATCAAGGGAGAAAGTTTGTTTAAATTTAAATAATTGCAATGGAAATCTCTCAGTGGTAGCAGCTTAAATCTTTTATAACGAATTTATTTCGGAATTTAATAAAATAAAAACCTTTTAAGCTCGAGTCCCAAATTCAACTGTTTAATAAAATAATAAATTAAAAGAATTGCAATGGAAATCTCTCAGTGGTAGCAGCTTAAATCGTTTATAACGAATTTATTTCGGAATTTAATAAAATAAAAACCTTTTAAGCTCGAGTCCCGAATTCAAGTGTATAATAAAATCAATATTAAATGATTTCACTGGGGCGAAGCCGTCGGCCCAGATTCAGATTCAGATTGAGATTCAAATACAGATTGGGAGACTCTGTTGATATTATTTTAGTCGCTCCGAGGCGCCGGCGGCCCTACGAAAATATGTTCTATATTTTTCTTCGCACCACTGTTTTGTACCGTGCAATATCCTGTTTAATGAAACACTGCGACTTGGCCAAAGCCGCGGGCGCAAAGACGAGTGTCCTTCCACCCCCAAAACCACCTTAACCCCCGGGCACTCGTGCAATTGTTGGATTTAGCGGGCAAAGCCCAACTGCGGTTGCCACGGGCAACCTTTGCAGGATACAGGATACGGAGGATAGGGGGGCATCCAGGAAGGGAGGGGCATCCAGATGGACAGGTCCTGCTGCTCAGAGGCACCGAGCCTCTGTGTTCCACCATAATTACACAATATCAGCCGGTGGCTGGTCCGGCATTCAGTGTCCAGAATCCAGAATCCACTATCCCTATTCAAAGCCAAAAGGTTAAAGACAACGGAAGCCGAGCGCTTTACAACTAACAATGAGAACTGACGAATTGATGGGCGGAATGAGAAGGCGCATCGGAGCACTTTGTTCAATTGTTTGCTCCAGAAAAGCCACTGCATTGTGTTGAATAACACTGAGGTGTTGCAGTAATTAACATGTGAACGCCAAAGGGCATTTTCATTTAACGACTAAGAAGTCACAAATCGAAATTAAATGCTTTCGAAATATATATTTATCAGAGATTTAGACAGGGTGACTGGGTTAAGTACTTCAATGTTGGCTTTAAATGAAAATGATAATAGATTACAGTGGTCAAGAAAATGAGTGTTTGTCAAATGAACAAAAAAAATTTTAAACGCAAAAATTGATGTTTAAAGTAGAGCTTGAAAAAATGACGACAGTTTGCTATTTCTCGATTTTTAATATGTGTTGTCTTTTTAAAACATACATATTATAGAAACAATGTTGTAAAAATATCGATAATTTTCAAGCTCTAATCTAAAGGCATTTTAAACGTGAGGTTTTAATTTATTATAATTTATTATTATTTAAAAAAACATATACATACAATGGAAGTAAACAAAATAATGAAAGATTATAAATTTGTATCAAGTTTGGGAAAAATCACCAAAAAATAAGCTGTGAAGTGGGAAATCAAATTCGAAGAAAACGCACCAATGTGGACCAAGCACACACACACCCAGACACATACTCGTATAACTTAAACCCCACTCATGATCGCACGCCCCTCATCCCGTATCGTTCGTATCGCCCCCTATCCAATCCCATAGAGCTTCTGAGCGACGACGAGCCAACGTGAGCAGAGGCCAAGATCAAGCGCCCCAATCCGCTGGCCAGGTGGGTCTCCCGGCTCTGCTGCCGCGGCTGCTGTGCCTGTATGTGCACGGCCTCCGACCAAGGTATATCTGATTGAGGCCATATATCTGATTGATCTGATTGCTGATTGTGAATGTGGAGTGTGGACATCGATTCGAATGTGGATCGAATCGGATCCGATCAGATCGGCCATGCTATCGGTGTCGTTATCCTGTTGCTGCTCGTGATCGTGCTCCTTTCCGTTTCCGTTTCCATTTCGATTTCGATTTCCGTTTCTGTTTCCCTACCGTTCCGTTCCAATCCGTTTCGTTTTGCAGTTTCTTGGTGTTGTGGCTTGCTCTATATCTCTCTCTCTGTCTGTCTCTCTCTCTCTCTCTGTTTTGTACTTGTCCCTGTCAGTGTTGGGAAACACCTAGTAAATAACTATTAGTTATGTTACAACAATAAAGATACAATAAAATAAATAACTAGATAATGAGAAATTTTGTAAACAAGAGCATAGTCGAAATTCCATATCTCGAACCATGAGGCTTCAAGCTATGGAAATTCGATTCCCCCTTCCCAACACTGGTCCCTGTCATTCTTCTGTCGCCTCCTTTCTCCACCTGTTCCTTTCCGTTGTTGTGCTCGATCTCTATTGCTGTTGCTATAGCTCATCTGTTAGTACTCCGTTTCCCCTCCAACTTGCATCTCTCCATCTTTTCATCAGCATCACTAAACCTGTACCTGTACCTTTACCTCTGCCTTAACCTGTACCTCTACCTCTACATGTACCTGTATCTTTCCCGCCATTTCTGTGTACTTCACCTCCATTTGTTTCATGTTCAATGTGTTTGCTATACGTTCAAGTGGCCGCCTGCCTGCCTGAGGTACAAAAATAATGAAACTCATGATCACTTGCCATTCGGACGATCGACGGACCAGGACTGCAACTAAAATTCAAACCACCCGCAAAATTAAAGGATATTTCGCCTAGAAAGTCCTTGCAACAATTGAAAAAAGCTTAGCAAGCGTCGGCGGCGGCAACGGCAGCGGCAAACGAATTTCATTTCTATTTAACCTCGTGGCTAATTCTCCCATCTCTGTTTCCCCAACCCCCAACCCCCAACCCATTCCCAATTTGCATCATCTTGCAGCGGACAAAACGGATGAGAAGTTCCATCGACGGGCCTCCGTGAAAATGGGCGTACGGGTCATTTATCGCACGGATGTCTTTCACCAGCATTTGGCTCCCGAGCAGTTTGCCGCCTTCGCCGGCCGTCCGCACAGCGCCCAATCGCCGCCGGCCAGTGCCACGCCCCCATCGGGCGGGGAGGGCGGCGGTGGCAGTGGCGACCAGCAGTCCTCGTCATCGCATCAATCACAATCGCAATCACAGCCGTCAAGCGGATCCAAGCACAAGTCCAAGTCCGAGCGGGGCGACTCCTTTCCCAAGCTGCGCCTCTCGCCAAAATCCTTTCGATTCAGCGGTCGCTTCGGTCGCAGCAAGAGCGAGATTGAAAAGTGCCCCAACGATCCGTTCCACAACTACAGCAAGTCCTTCCAGGAGGTGAGTGTTCATTTGGAATATGAAAATATAAAGAAAACTATTTAGGCTATCAAATTTTAAAGGTGTCTAAAAGTAGGCAATAAAAATAATGGTAAATAAAGGCAATTTCTATGCCACTAGAAAATATCTAAAAAGAGCATTTAATCCTCAAGGAAAATCAAGTTTTAAGAAAAAATTTATTATTCATACAGTCGTCTAAGAGTATGCAATGAAAATAATAGTTATATTAATGCCTTTACAAGTTATCCACATCGAATATGTATACAAATAAAGGCAATTTCTATGGCACTATGAAAATATCTAAGAGAAGAATTTAATTTACAATAAAAAGCAAGTTTTAAGATAATTTTGCCGGATTAATCTTTATAAAGGTGTCCAAAAGTATGCAATGAAAACAATAGTAGTACTGTAGCATACTTTTAGGTACCTTTGTAAGTTATTAATAGCGAATATGTAAGGCAATTTCTATGCCCTTAGAAAGCTTTTTCGCTGGAAATCACCTATTTTTGACCTAAGCCACTTGTTTCTCTCGATTCGCAGCACTGTGACAGCATGTTGCCGCCGCACACTGGGGCCGGGGTCACCGGAGGCATCGGGGGCGTCAGCGTGGGACCCTGCGGCGGTCCTCAGGGCTCCGTGGACAAGCCCTTCCTGCTGCACGACGGACGCGTTGGCCTGAGGGCCAGCCTGGACAAGGGCTGGTACACCCACGGCGAGGACGTCAATGTGACCGTCAATATTCGCAACGACAGCCGCAAAACGGTCCGCAAAGTACGGGTAAGTTTTGTGGCATTCCGATCCACAGACCAGACCCTTATTCCTGCGAACAGTCGTCCCTGGTTATGCAGCCAATCATTAGCAATGCCATAACGCATAACGCATACGCAACGTGGTGCTATTGAGGAAAAAAGCATGGTTACTATTGTGGGCGAATACTCGTAGGTGGAAAAACCATGGGTGCCTGCTTGGCTCTCTTAAATGACTTTTCGGGCTGGGACAAAATACACTTTAAGCTAAGATACTTTACCCAAACCATCAACTATCAATATCTTGAACAACGACGATATATTTATGCTAATTAGATGCTTCAGTGCGGAAGTTAAGTATTTGGTATACGATTTAATATACAAACAAGAATCGCATTACGGGATGCGCTCGCCTATTTAGTCAGTAATTGGCTTTTGTTTAAAGGATTAGAGAGACCCTGTGGGGAACTCACCAGTCGGCACCACTGATTCCACTGCATTCATCGTCAACCTTTTGAATCCTGGATCACACACATACCGAGGTGCATACATAATCTGCATTGGCACTCCGTCTATGCAAACAAGATGGGTTGGGAAAAAGGCACTGGGTCTTCATACCCATTAGTCGAGGGGTTATATTCGGTATAACAAAAGAAAAAGTGTTTAGGAAATACATTTTTATCGAAAAAAATAGAGTATTGGCTTTAATTAACTAGTCAGAATATATGAAAATATTAAGATTCTCTTTGATATTCGAAAAGAAGAACATGCTTGAAAAACTTTCCTTTTTTTTATACTTCTTTAAATTTTATGGGCAATATTTAGAGTTTTAACTTATTATCTAAATGTCTAAGAAAATCTGAAATATGGACTTCTGGAAAAATCACTCTGGAAATTCAAGAAGAAAAACATGCTTGAAATAATTCAGTGTAATTTTATATAATTGTAAAATTTATAGGTTTTTTTTACCAAAAAGAAAAACATGCTTGAAGAATGTTAATTTATTTTATATAAATTTAAATTTCTTGGCCACTTTTACTCTAAAATTCAGGTGTAGTTCAATTAGGTGTCTTGCAGTCGAGAGAAAAAACTAAAATCATTTTCTGTGTTTGGTGTTCGAGGGAATACTCAGTTATGACAGTTAATCAAACGCCCTCCAGGGGCAGGGACTCAAGTTAAGCTGCTTGTGAGTTGCACACAGCTCCGCCCTTCGATGAACAATGAGTTTCGATGCCAAAATGGATAACGATGTGGATTGATTTCAGTTTTCCGAGACGGAGCTTCTGGGGCACCGGCATTGTCTTGGCATCGGACAGTTCCCCATTGGCCCCCAAGGTATAATTCTAATGAAATATACCAATTACCAAAGATAATTTTCAAATTGCCGAATGCCGAGTCAATCTGATTTAATTAGTGGCCAAACAATAGGTGTAAAGAACAAAAGGCCGCTCAAGAGGAAATTCGGATGCTGTTCGGGGTATTTAATCTGTTTTCTGCATTGCAAGGATTAGAAGATTCCCAAGTTAAATCCTTCACCCTATCGAGCGGCTATGCAGAATCGCAACTTGGCTTTTTCACTTATCCGGCATCGCGTGCTAATCGGAAAATATTACGTATACGCACCAGGTGTCGGCTCAAATGAACGGGATGACAGACAGCTGGGCGGGCCGAGAAGGCGACAAATCGAAAGGATCCCTTGGGTCCAGGGGCTTCGGAACTCCGGAACTGGCAGTTGATTCCTTAAGCACACCCACTCACGCACATATGCAAATTGCGCTTAGCCGAATGAAATTGTCAAGCGAAGAAGCCTTTCCCCCAGTCGAAAATGGAGGGCCAAGGTGAAAGGGAAAGGAGGGGAGGGGAAAGGACCTTGGCAAAGTGAAAGGCTGGCAAAAGGCGCAGTTAAAGTGAAAATTGTGTTTATACATTTTATGGGCTTTACTCCTCCCGTTGGCCCCTCCTTTTTTTCCCACTCACAGGCTTCTCAGCTTGGGTTTTTATTGTGCCCCGAAGGCCCTTCTATGTGAGCCGCACACACGCGCACACCTTCTTTGGAGCCAACTCGTCTGGTTTTGGTTCCTTTGGCATTCATAGAGCCTCCGTGTTTTCATCGCCCTTTCCCTACTTTCCTTACTTTCTCCACCCCTTAAAAAGGCATGCTGTATTTAACGGGAAATGGAGCGCGCAAAAGTGTGCTACAGTTTTACATTGTGACGGGTTATGCCTAATCCCGGCCCAAACCACCCACCACCCACCATCCCAGTTTGGCTCTGTTATGGCCTATCGTTATCCCCCAGTTTGTTGTTTCGATCAGAGTGTTCTCCCTGTGAGCTGAGTTGCCGTCACCATCGAATAGAAAACCAGAAATTTATTTGAGAAAATACTTTAAAAATATTAAGATGATTGGTATTACAAACTACTCATAACTCTTGAACAAATATTTATCTGGAGAAATCAGTTCACCTACACTTTACTTCGAATATTTGCAAAAAATATAAACGATGTAGCTTTTGTCTTGCTATACACGCCGGGATCAAATCGATATGCGCATGGTAAATTTCTGGTATTTATACGCATATCGTTTTTACCATGCATTTTACCGAATTCTGTATTTTGAAGATTCTCTAACTTTGAAATTGAGAGGAGGTATCAAAATTGCAACCACATAATATCAAATTGATCATCGTTTCATATCAAGTTTATTTGGGTGTAGCTTTAAATTAAATGGAATTGATATTGACACTGTATTTACTTAATTCAAAGGCTACACTGTTCGCTGTTCTGTGTCGACTTTTAATCAAATATTTTGTTGTGCAATGGCCAACAGCTTTGGGAATGCCAGGACTAAGGACCAAGAACTGAGGACAAAGCTGGCCCTTGCGACTTTCTGGCTGAGTTGAAGCAAATTGACTGCCAATGTCATCAGAATCAGAATCAGGTGGCCCACTGGAGCATTGAATCGGCATTTAATTACAAGCCGGATATTACGCATACGAGATGTGGGCCATCCTCACGTTCCTCACGACAGACAGTTCAGTGCAGGCAAATGTGGAACTTGAGCTCGAACGATGGATTGGCCAATGCAAAATGCATATGGCGAGCACAATTCAAACCTGAAAGAAGGCCAAGAGACATTGGAAAATGTTTTATGGTGCCGCCTGTCAAATGTTATTGTTTATTTTTATTGTACCCCCATTATTTTCACGGCGCATTGTTCATTGATGAATAGACTCGGCAGACTCGGAAAGGAACCACTACAGTCAGCGACAGATACAAGTTATGACACACACGGCGGCACATCGAATTGACTTTGCTGTGAGCGTAAATAACGATCCGCAGACAGTAAATCGAAGGCGATTTTAAAGGACGTGTGCGCACTTAAGTTGAGCAACTTGAGTGAGCCTTAAAATGCACACCAGGCATATTATTCTATATGTCCGTAAGCTGCGGTCATTTGGTCCTTAAACTCCATAGTGAAGATTAAAAAAAGAGAGTACCTCGACTATCAGATACCCATTACGCAACTGTTAAGCGACTGCTTGAAATTCATTATTTGCTCATAACTTTTTAATGAACGGTTCGATTTGAACAATTTCTTTTACTCAACGAGTAACAAGTATAGTAATATTACTTACTAAAAAAATCTAGATGATACAAAAATTATATTTATTTAAAATAATGCAAATTAAAAATATTTGTTTCTAATAATATAGTTTATTATTAATTCATTCTTTCTGTGCAGATAAGCAAGCATTAAGCTCACGCAAAAGATTAGTGAAAAAGCCAGAAAGAAGGTCAAGGCAGGCATTCATAACGAAGCCAATCAAAGGGCCAACTGAAGCATATTACCATTTGGGATAATCGGTGGTTACGTAAAGGGGCGAACATTTGATTGATTGACTGCTGCCATTGGATTCTACATAAAATTAAGATCTATTGGGGCCTTAGAATTTGTTTTTAAGCAGAGACAGTTAGATATTTTATTTTGGAAATATTTGCCTAGTAATAAAACAGTAACTAAGAAAAGGGTAAACATCTAAAAATAATAACAAAGTTATAGTAGTAAATATAAAGCAAACGTCTTACGATACTCGTAAGTAAATACGTTTGTAGGTGGATTTATTGAAATTCTTTTATTAAAAATTCAAATGTTTATTAAAAATACAACAATTCGCTTCACCATTTTCCGAACTCAGATGTTTATGAACTGAAAACACAGCAATTTCCCCACAAAATCTCATATGCTGACCCAAAACTCTGCACTACATTCGCTATGCATAATTTAAAGAGTCTGTGGAACTTCCTGTTTTTGTCAAATTCGTATTCTCAAATGGCTTGGCATTGGTTTAAAGCAGTAAATAATATTCTCAACTGGTTGTGAGCTGGTTTTTGTTTTGTCTCGCTTCGTTTCGATTATTGCCCTTTGAAGGGACTGCTAGTGGTGCTTTCTGGCCATTTGGAGCCCCAGAGTCCTTGTCCATTTGTGACAAGTTTCAGCCATCTTTTATGCAATCGCATAATTCGATTTGATTTGATGGCCTTTCCCGTGAACCTTTCTCCCTTTTCCCTTCTCCTTTCTCCATCTCCACTTTCTAAATGTTTATGCCAAACCGAGATTTCTTGTGGGCAACCTGGTTGCTCCTCCTGCTCATTTATTTTATTTTCATCGTGCACTTTGCGCCTTATTAAATATGTACCTACCATTCTGAGCTGTGTGTGTGTGCGATTCTGAATGCCGAGATTGCTTTGTACTTTTTTGTACTTCTTGCTTTTTTTTTTGTTGTAGCTACCAAAGTCGCCCAGAAAATGTCAAAAGTTACCTTGGGTCCTTGGGTAACTTGGACATCTGTTCCCCAATTTCCATCGCTGTGAATGTGAATGTGAGTGTGGCTGTGACTGTGAATGTGAATGTGACTGTGGAATGGGGCCCAGCAACAAGTCCTTTGGCCCCACAGCCAATTGAAAGTCCTCCGCAGCCGTCGCACAAAGGCAAAAGGCGACTTGGATGACGGCCATTTAAATGCTATATGGAATTGAAAACTGAAAACAGAAAACTGAAAGCTTAAAACTGAAAACCGTGAATTGAATGAGTCGTCGATGCCATGGAAGATTTTGATTGCTCACTTTGATTGCCGCCAAAAGAGGGTAGGAATTTCACGAACTCTTGAATACGTTAAATCGAAATAGGCCCATCTCAATGTTGCACAGACGAATTCATTAAATGAAATGAATCGAGAAGGCATAATCAATTAATATTCATTAATTAATTAGGTATCGAGAAACTGAAACGGGGGAATTGGTAAATATTTAATAGCTTTTAGTAGAAGAACAAGAAATATTGTTCTTATTTCACTCATATATTATTAATTTTTTAGTACAAAATGAAATGGGTTCCAATTGAACCACCTTGGCGGATGAGTAATATTTCTTAAATATTTAGTTGTAGTGTAAAAAAATAAATTGCATATGTAGGATGTCCTTCGATGTCCTTAAATGACTACATTTTTTTTCGGTCACATATGGAGACAGCAAACAAATAAATGAAGGCTAAAAGCGCTACGGAAAATCGACACTGATGAGCTGCCAATAAATGGAGACTAGGCCTGAGTTTAATTTATTATTTCTGTTCCTTCCCCTGTTTTTTTCTTTGCCTTCACTTCGCCCGCATGGCAATTCCTGAACGACCTGGCCACTTGAATGGACGGTAATTGAGTGCATTATCTCAGATTGGGTGGGAGATTGGGCCAGAGACACTTTGGCCGCATCCATAAAATAACGCTCGACATCGTTTGAGCTTTCCCACAAAAAACAAACACGGCCCAAGAGGCCAGCAGCCAGCAGACGGTGAATGGAATTCGGGTGACTAGACAATGCTCTTTGGGGCTTACCAATGACTTGAAACAGAAGTCTGGTAATCATTTTAGGTTTGGCTAATTTTGATTTTTGAGAATATACCCATTATATGGGACGTTTCTATGCTATGTCTAAGAGTCAACACTTTTGCAAACTCAAAAAATGAGTTACATTTCTGAACTCGTTATTAAATTTCCAATCAATTGGCATTTAAACCTGGACATTTCATTTTTTTGTCATTTTTCGCGAAAGATCAGGATGTACCCCCTCATGAAAAAATTAAAAATTGACGAAAATTTTATTTTTCCAAAATCACACGGAAAGTGTTATGGATTTATTGCAAGTTTTATTATCTGTTCAAAACAGTATGTATTTTTGGTGTAGGACCATAGGAAAGTGTTATGGATTTATTTATTACTTTGCTGTCTGTTCAAAACAGTATGTATTTTTTGAATAAAATTATTTTTGGCCAAGTTATAGCATAAAAACCAAAAGAAAAATACCTCTTTTTTTCAAAAATCAAAACTCCGAAGGAAAGAAAAAATATTACGAAATTTAACATTTTGTAATTTAAAAGGAACGATCTGCAAGGATATATAAGCTTCGGCTGGCTGATTATTATTATATTGGTGTAATTATTAAAATACTTTATTACAATTTGTTCAATGTTGGATGGAACAAGTTAATCTCCAGATTCCAGAACACTAAAGTAATTTCCTGGGGGATTTGTGGACTGGACCTTCACCCTCACCGCACAGTACTTAATATCGTAATTAACTATCGTTTATCTCTGATTTTTGTCCCATTTCGCCCGGGGATCCCCCCAAATCCGTCGAACAGGTCTGCGCCATCCAGCACGTCGACGTCTGCATGTTCAACAACGGCAAGTTCAAGAACGTGGTGGCCGACTCGGACAACGTGACCCCGCCGGTGGATCGCACGGTGGCCGCCGGGGCCTCGCTGAACACGACGGTGGTCCTTCGGCCGCAGCGCGGTCCCACCAAGAACTGGATCGCCCTGGAGGACACACTGCAGCGCAGCACCGAGCCGGAGGAGATCACCGGCGCCATTGCCGCCTCGGCCATCCGTTCGCCGCATTTCGTGATGCAGAACGCCCAGCTGCTGGGCGGATGCGGCCATCCGCTGGGCAGTCCGGCCCTGATCACCCCGCATCCGCACTTGTGGCAGCCGGGGCCAGTCCAAGGTCAGTCCGGCCAGCCCAATTCGGCCGGCAGCAATGGCGGCAATGGGGAGGAGCGCAACGTCTTCGCCATCTACGTGTCCTACTACGTCAAGGTGAAGCTCACCCTGAGCGGCATGGGCGGCGAGTTGTCCCTGAAGCTGCCCTTCGTCCTCGTCCATGTGGATGAGACCCAGCGCCCCGGCTTCGCCTCCGCCACGCTGGGCGAGCTGCGGCTGGAGATGGAGCGCCTGGCCCTGCAGGATGCGCCGGTGGGCAGGAGGAACGGACGACGACAGGCGCCCACCGCCGCGGAGATCGGAGATGGACCCTCCACGAGTGCAGCTGCCGCCGCCGCCGCTGCTGCCAAGTCATCCGGTGGAGGAGGAGGAGCTGGAGACCTGGACATGATCGAGACCCTGGACGATGAGTTCAACATCAGGGTGCCGGTGCCGAAGAAGAACGGCTCCCACAAGCGGCGATTGCAGCGCAGCGAGACCTTGGCCCGCGATCTGGAGGAGCACGAGGAGCGGGAGGTTGGCCAGCTGCCGGAGGAGGGCGAGGACCACATCGTTCAGATCCATCTGGAGCAGGTATCGCCGGACAGGGATGAAGTGCAGCGGGAGCAGCCGAGCCACGCCCCCGGAGCCGAGACCGGTGCAGTGCCCAAGTCGTCGAATGTGTGATTCTGATTGTGGTCCCAGATGTTTGCCAAACGCAAGAGGAAGCCGTAGTGCTACCAGTCCAACACCAGTTGCGTTTGCAGGCGATTTTCCACTGGACTGCAATCGAATCGAAACGAAATTCATTCTTAATAGGCCTCCTGCTAAATAAATCATCCATGAAAAATGTTCATCGAAAATATTCTAATTTTCTTTTAAAAATTGTAAAAACATAACTTCGGGAGTTTGAGAGTGCTATGCACACAACTAAAATAACATTTTCAAGACCCGTAGATTTTTTGACAAACATTTGCACATACACAGAACAAAAATTGACAAAAGATCAGATTGATATGTGCAGGTCAATTTAATATTTTTAAAAGATCAATTTGATATGATAAAGATTATCTTATTTTAAAATATTTCTTCAAAAAATACTACATTTGGTATTTTGAATAGTATTTTATAACTTTTAATAAATAATAATCATAAATTCGACATTAATCATATCGGTTTTTTGTCAAATTTTTGTTCTGTGTAAGCACATTAAAACTTAGGAACTCGAGATTATAAATGATTATATTCGAGCACCAAACTAATTGAAGAAAACATTTTGAAGAAAGGGGGTAAAATACAAGATTTATTATTTAGATTTCTGGTCTTAATATTTTCAAACCATTTGAAAGAAATATAAATTCTAGTAGTTATATAGCCCCACTGTAAATTTAAACGAAAACCATTCAGTTTCGGTTTCAAAAGTCGAATGCCAGGTGTTAGCAGTTAGAAGCTAGACGTTAGACGTTAGGAGACCCATCCTATGATAAGAAGGTTTTACAGAAGAAGGTTTCCACATTTGGAGAGCGAATTCCATGTAGGAATCACATACACAGTTGGCAACGCTATTCCCTAGGAATCAGACAATGAAATGAGGTGAAATTTTTGCACTCTGGTCGAAAGAGCCGAAGTGGACGAGGCGAAAAACGATGGAGAGGGAGCCATAGATATATACACTATACATTTATAGTTGGTAGCGATAAGAATTATCATTTGATATTAGCCATGCAATGCGTTGAAATTGATGATATTTTGTGCAGATTGGCGGGATAGACTAGCTGAAATCGGTATCAAATCGGTATCGGAAATAGAAGGCAAGCCAAGCTGAAAACACACAGTAAGAAAAAAGTAATACATACATATATATTTACCTAGATCGTAAGTGAGTGTCTGCAGTCTGCATCAATTAACGAGTGCACCGAATATCGAAAATGCCAATTGAAAAAGCCCTCTTAAATCGCACCTATGCCCCCCACTAGAGTTATTCGACAATGTACTACCCAAATAATCATATATACATACATATATTTACTGAATATTAAATGTTTGATGTGTATTTACAAAACGACAAGGAAATATTACAGAGGCCAAAGGGCGAACACTACACTACAGATACTACAGATAGAAATACAAATACAAAGACAAACAATTTGTGTGAAAATCTCATCTCTTTGCGGTTTCAAACTGACGAAAAGTATTTACAAATAACAAAAATAACCAAATTAGCCAGATGCCCAGATGCACAGATGCCCGGTTACCCACACAAAAGGACAAACACAACACATATCTGTGAGTTTTCTGGCTTTTGTTGCCAACGTCAATGGATTATTGTCGCAATGTGTTGATTCCGATTCAGATTCAGACTCAGATCTATGGTCAAATTAGTTAAATTAAGCAGAACGAAAAGGGAAACGCAGACAGCTGTCACTTGGCGGCAGAAGGTGGGCACTTTTCATCCAGATGGATGGCCAGCCCAAATTTATTGACAAAGTTCCGAACAGTAATTAAAGCGACGCTATAGCTATAGTTTTTTAAATCGTATTTCTGACCCAAAGAGAGTTTTGAAAGAAAGAGTTTTGTGGACGAAAATATCCTATTTAAGAGGACGCAGTCTTAAGATGCGGGACATACTTAAACCACCAAGGAAGGCAAATCGATGATATCGAAGATTTTTAATGTTAGCTGTACGAAAATCCAGATTTCAATATGAAAATGAATAAATACTAAAAACTAAAAACTGAATACAAATATTAATATTAATATATCTCTGTGTATATGTGTCTAGAGTTAATGTGCAACATTGAACACACTGAATAATGAAGAATTTATGAATGTAAAACGATTTGGTATCGCTACGCTATAGGCCCTGGCCATCTGTGTGCAGATCGATATGCCGATCGGAATAGATATTTAAATATTTAACTATAAATACATACATACAATATATTTATGTGAGTGTGTTGCTTTGACAAGCCAAGCTACTACTTGATTTTCGGAACAAACCAAAAAAAAAGACGCTACACTAACGCAAATGCAAAAATGCGAAAAAAATAAAGTTAAATGTGATGCATTTCTATGAATACACTTTAAAGAATACATAACCCTATATACAATCATATATGTATACACTGTATTGATGGCTATTTAGGCATAAGACCCCCCATCTCTCTCTCGATCCCAAAAACCGCATTCTTTTTACTTTAAGAGCTGGCCTCTAATCGCAGCCAAGGATTGTGAAAACATTTTGGTTCCCGTCCCCGTTTCCCGTCCTTTCCTTTCCGTTCTATATCGTTGTCCTTTCTGTCTCCAGACCTCCAGATACCAGACCTCCAGCCAATTGATTGATGATGAATCTTGGTCTCGGTCAGCGGTCGGTGGGCGGTGAGCCATGGACTTTGGTTATTGGACTTTGGACATCGGACTCTGGGGGCAGACAGAGCGCTCTAGAACATCTGAAAATATAATGAAATAAATGTTAAACATAAAATATCACAAAAATCTCGCTTGTTTTTATTCACAGCATGGCTGTAGTGTTGTTGTTTTCGGTTTTTTTTTTTTTGGTTTTTAGGGGAGGGGGTAGTAAAAGGACGGAGGCTACAAGATGGAGTCCCCAGCAGGAGCTCGAAATTATTTGGCTGCCCGTCATTGAAGCCAGGACCAACCATTAAGCGAACTAGCTGGCTAACATGGCTTGGCCTTCTGGCAATCAGCATGGAGCTGTCCAGAAGTCTGAACCACCCCCACCATGCCACCACCCCCTAGGATCTGGCTCTGTTAATTAACATCGTATGCCGAACTTAGCTTTTGGCTCGGAGAGCTTTTCGGAGTAAATCGTTAACTAAAGTTGAGACTAAACTTAAGAGAAAACTTAGTCCGCTTCCAAAAGCTTTGGAGTAGGAAGTGCTTGCGTAAGCTCCATGTTTTATATAGGAACTAAGCTAAACCCAATTCTAGGCCCCTGAAAAGCTGAAAGTCCTTTGCTCACTTTTCTTTGCTCCTGTAAAGCCTTTATCTAAAAAGGTTCAACTATTAGTGCAAAAAAAGAATTTTTAAGAGCGAAACTAAATTATTGTCAAACTGTATTGAACATTATTTGTAATTATCTTTTCCGTAAAGCCTTTTATATATATTTCTGTGATATACACTCATAGAAATTTTTACCCTAAATCGCCCTAAAAAACTGACTTTTCGCCCGTGGATTTAGAAAATCGCCCATAAATCGTATCCGCTGGCGATTCGCCCGTGTATTTAGAAAAATTTTCTAAAAAATCCCGATGGAAATTTGGTTTAATTTAGGGTGATTTTTCTTGAAATAAGAAATATTTTCCTTTTTTTAGGGTGATTTGCCCTAATTTTAAGGTGTATTTTTCTAAAATTAAGGGCGAATTTTCTGTTTTTAAAGGCAAATGCCCTAAAAAATTAGACAAATTAAAAAAATTCGAGTTTGAGCATGCTTAACTGAATTTGGGAAGCATGTATTTTTTAATCGTGTATATTCTGGGAACTGGGACTGCTTTAATTACACAAAACCGGCGGAGGACACCGTTTCATATTGTTGTATTGGTGTGTAGCTTATATGGGAGCTGCGCTAAGAGGGGGGCCCGATCTATACAGAACAGCCGTTAGAACTGAAAAATCATGTTTGTAAACGAATTAGGGAAATAAATATGAGGAGAAAAAACAACTTACTTTTTTTGGTCATTGCGAGAATCGAACCCACGACCTCTCGGTTTAGAGTCTAACGTCCTAACGCTGCACCACAGACCCATCGCGCAAGACGACGAACAAACTCTGCACATATCTTATTTTCTTGAGGTCTACGTTATAATATGACTAAAGGCAACTAAACCGTATAAAGTATGCTTTTAACTCAGAACTCCCATACGTTTTTAAGGTTTAAAGACTACTTTAATTTAAAATTCGGACGAAAAAATGTCCTCAGTATTATAATGTTTACAAAAAAAAAAAACATAAAAATCAAGTTGAATCACACAGGGTTCGAACCCACAACCTTAGTCCTCATATAGCAAAGTTGAAAGCGCAAGTGATTAGACCGCTGGGCTACCGAATTTCACACTTTTGGAGTGATTTTTAAGGCAAATCGCCCTTGTATTTAGAAAAATTTTAGAAAAAAAATTAGGGCAATTCGCCGTTGGATTTAGAAAAGGTCAAAACGAAGCAAATCGAAAAAAACCGCCCTAAATATTAGAAAAATAGAAAAATTAACCCTAAAAATATTTTTTTATGGTCACCTGCCTTAAATTTATGGCAAATTTGTCGTGAAAATAGAAAATTTTTCTCAGTTCAAAGGCGAAAAATTTTTTAGGGCGATTTTCTAAAATGTAGAAAAATATTTTTATGAGTGTACCCGTCATGTATGCTGTATATGCCAGCTTTTTAACGAAAAGGTTCCAGAAATATAATACACTAGTTTACAAAAGAGTTTTTTGAAAAAACATTTTTTTAAAGATCTATTAAAAAATTTGTTTTTTATTTCCATCCATTTTTGAAAATAAATTTGGAAAATGTGGTTATTGATTTTGAAAAATGCCACGCACTTCCCGACCAATTTCCAATAGATTACTTTACCGATGCCATCTAACATATTTGTATGATCTTGGCTAACATGGAAAACCAATGGACTACTTGGAAAAAAACGCAATTCATAAAGTTTTAATTAATTTTTATTTGATTTTTAATAATAAATATATTTATCTGTTATACGTTTTGTGTTTTCGTATTGCTTTTCTCTCTCTATATTTTTCGCATGGTTTCCTCATTGTAGTACTTCGTATATTTTGTTATTTTTATTTGTTTATTTATTTATATATATACATACATATATATAAATTTGCATGTGTGTGTATTTTGTATGAAAACTTGTATGCGAATGCAGCTCACACACACACTCACGAAACTGATGCTGATAATTGGGAGATGTGTTTTAGCTAATAATCGGAAATAACAACAAATAGTAGAGTAAGAAAACAACAGCTCAAGACTAAAATGCTAAATCGTTCCACAGTATCGTTCGTTTCTTGTTTGGTTTATTTGTAATGCAATTAATTGACTTGTTTGCCTGCCTTTCGTCCTTTAGAGATGCATATAATTTAAAACCACAAAATTATGAAAAAAAAAGTTAATTCGGTTATGGGAACAACGAAAAGTCCTTCTAAAGCTTATAATTGCATTTGAGTAGGGGAGGTTTATCTATCAGACAGATCAAATCAGTTGAAACCTATCATTGAAATGTACTTACATTTTGGAAAAATAAGCTAATTTAAATTCTTTTCTAATTTTCTAGCTTCTGTCACGGTCCTTTCATAATTTTTCTGTGGTATTGGTAAAAAAGAGTATATTTCTTTAAAATTAGTGTTCATAATGAGTGAGAATAATAGTTGTCTAATACATCAGCTGTGTATTTTCTTTTGATTTTTACAAAATAAACGCAATTCTCGTCATTCTAATTAGCTTTCGTTAGCCGTATATTCATATGTATGTATATGATCTGTATATACAAACCATTTGTTAGTTTACACTTTCATTATCGTTTGTGGATTTTCTTTTGGGAGGCAAAAAAGGCACTATAATCTAATAAGTTACGACGATGAAAAAATTAGTTTTCTCTTTCGTTCCTTCTCTATATACTTGTATATCTTCATATACTCTCGCATTCACTAAGTCGACCATTCTACATTCTTTCTTATTTATAAATTAAATATGCACAAAAATTGGTGTTTCAAGTACTCGAAGTAATGCTTTCAAAATTCGATAAATTTAAACATTTTTATTCGTTATTTTTCATTTTCATTTTTCATTTGTGTGTGAGGCAAGTTAAAGTTAGGTTGCAGTTTTTCTAGGTAAGGATCTAGGCATTGAAAAACAAGCCCCAATTTTTAAATGCCCATTAACAGGTTAACAGTATTTTGCCACTTAAACCAAGTACAATGAAGAAAAAAATAGTTATTAGGGATTAATTGTTTTTCGTTTTATAAATACAGTGTAAGCAATAAATTAATTAAACAATGACAAAAAGAACATATATTTATATTTATAGATAAATAATAAATAAAATACACACACAGAGTTGAACTGTTTTAAGCTTAATACATAGGTTGCTTTCGTTATGTTTTGTTTTCTTTCGTTTCGTTTCCCTTCTTTAAATTTAACATTTGCTTTCTTATTTTTTTGATTTTCCTTAAGTTTTTGTTAGACAAATTTGTAATGCGCACTTAGTTGATAGGAAGAGAACCAAAAATCGAACAATTGCAGCGAATTTTGTAAGCTCGGCGCACGGCCAAAGGGAAAAGTAAAGTGTTAGCTAGCCGGTGCTGTTTTTGTCCCACTGTGCCAGGCCCCAGGGATCCGCACAGTGGACAGATACTTTGCTTTCCCCTTCTCTCTCTCTCTGGTTTGTAGTTATGAATATATAAGTATATCGTATATAGTTTACATTAATAAGCCTATATATAAATTCATTGCTTAACATCGCTGTACTTTTTAATTTATTTATTTATCTGCATGTTTCGGGAGTTTTATGGGGCTGCTGTTGTTTTACGGGGTTGTTGTCATCTTCGAAATGCAGGAATCAACTTAACTAGGGCCTGTGATAAGGTAATCAAGTTTAGACACAGATTCCACACCCAATAAAGCATGCAATATATGTGTGCTAAAGGATACGGATGACGGATACACATAGATGTTTAGCTTCATTCACTTGGATTCTGCTGCTCGCTAGCTCACATATTTAATTTATCATTTATCATTTGCTCTTTCTCTACTCTCTACTCTTTCGTCCTCGTCCTCTATCCTTTTATATTTATATGTATATATATGTGTGTATCTATGTAAAAGTTTATTTCTGTTGTTGTTTGTTGAACCTTTAAGGAAATGGAAGCGGATGGATATATTATTTCTTCTTGTTGGTCGCAAGCATTGGGGCGCTGCGCTGCGGTGTTGTGGGTCGCGACGAGTTCATTCCGCTGTACAGATACTTGGCCTTCTTCTCAGATGGTTTCAGGATCTACAAGGGATAAAATCATGATTACAAATCAGTTTTATAGGGCGTTGGGTATAAAAATTTAAAAATTATCGATATTTTCGATATTTTGACAATATTTTATTGATATTTGATGTTTTGAAGGGAAACACACAAAATTAAATATCATCGATATTTTTTCAAGGGATTAAATCACAGTTACAAATCAGTTTTAGGGAGAGTGTGGTATAGAAATTGAAAATTATCGATATTTTCGATAATTTGACAATATTTAATCGATAATATCGACTTTTTGAAGGCAAAAAACACCAAATTAAATATCGTCGATATTTTTTCAAGCTCTTGTTGGGTAGGTATCTCATATCTCACCTGGAATGAGCACATGAGCGTGTCGTCCACGGTCATCATGCCGCCGGCATTGTCGAACTCCCCGCAGTAGTTGGGCGCCGAGAACAGTGTGACCAGTTGGCGACGCGCAAAGAACTCGTAACCGTCCTCCACAACCTGTGAGTTAATAAAGGGTGGATTTAATTCGTTAAGATCTATACACATCACTGATATCACTTACCTGATGCGCACGACAGATCAAGTCAAGCTCGTGCCGGTTTAAGAACTTGGAGACCACATCCACGCCGAACGTGAAGCTCACACCGCGATCGTTCTCGCCCCAGCCCTGAACGTCCTTGTCGGGATCGCTCCACAGGAGGTCGCAGAGCAGCCCGGTGTCCGGGACATCTGTGGGCCGCATCAGGCGACGGATCTGCTCCATGCCCTGCAAATCGGGACTGAGGCCGCCGTGGCAGCAGAAGATCTTCTCGTCAATGATCGCGGCCACTGGTAGACAGTTGAAGCAATCGGTGAAGGTCTTCCACAGTTTGACATTGTATCGGCGTTTGCACTCGTCGTAGAAGCCTGCAGGATTAGGATTAAATCATGAATATAATACAGTATTTAATATAACAATCACTTACCATAGATCCTATTAATACTGGCGCACTCATGGTTGCCGCGCAACAAAAAGAAGTTCTCCGGATATTTGATCTTGTAGGCCAGCAGCAGGCAGATGGTCTCCAGCGACTGCTTGCCCCGATCGACGTAGTCGCCGAGGAACAAGTAGTTGGCGGCCGGCGGGAAGCCGCCGTACTCGAATAGCCGCAACAGGTCTGTGTACTGGCCGTGGATGTCGCCGCAGATGATCAGCGGCGCCTCCAGCTCCAGCAGGATGGGCTGCTGCAGGAAGATCTCCCGCGACTTGAGGCACAGACCGCGCACCTCCGCCTCGGTCATCTGCACCTGTTTGCCCGTTCGGCAGCTGCGCACTGTAATTAAGCGTGATGTTAGTGGACTCAATGGAAGGATGTGCCATGTACGAACATACAGGATAGATAGACAGTTAGATAGATATAGTAACTAGAGCTTAGCCTACGACTGACGACTTATGGCAAAAGACCGACGAGCACGAGTACGAGTACGATAACTATCGACGCAGGACACGCGGAGACGAATCCACAAATGGCGGAGGAGCAGGAGGATTTGGCGGGAGAACAATGCCGCAAGAAATGGTTGCATACTTTGTGGCGCAAGCGAAATTGCGTGCAGGCTATTTGGTGAGGTTAAGGTGAATGGTACAGTTGCGCTCAAAACAACAGTACAGTGTGACCAACTAAAGTGTAAATGCCAAGGTTCGTACACAAGATAAAATATTAAAAATTATTTTAATTATTATTGTTATCTACTATAAGATCCTTTGCTAGTTTTAGTTTTGTAAACTTTTCTAACATCATATAAATAAATAAATATGACTTCCTTTACTCGCAGGAAACAAACACCTATTTTAGAAATTCGAGTTGAAGCGAAGTTCTGCTAAATGTAAATTAGTTTTAATGATAAACAAATTTAAAATTTAAATTCCATCACACAATAGTTTCGAAAGTTAAAAATACTAATTAATCCAATTTCACCCTCTAAACCCTATTATTGTGACCGCAACTGTCGCAGGATTCTTGTGTGGGAGCACTACGATGTAAGGTAGTAACAAAGGTAAAGCTGTGTGTTAGAACTTCCTGGTCTCGGGGATAATTGCAGGTTGTCGCTGCTCGGAGACCGTATCTCAAAAACCTTGGCCAACAAGTGGGCGCAACCACGTAAGCCACTACCCCACTTTTTGCCCTGCCATTTCACCCCCTGTCGTGCAATTAATTTTGCAAGGCAAAACGCTCCGGAGCCAGGGAAAACGATGATAGTGCTATCCTTTATCCTTTATCCTGGGAATACAAGTAGGTCGTGCAAGAGTGTGTGGCGCGTGCACAAAAAAATTTAATTAAATTTGGATAGACCAAAATGCTGGGCCAGCGTTTGGCTCGCAAAAACAGAACACAGAACAGACAAGCCCCCAATCCATTCGTCCTTGCCTTGGAAATTGTGAGCCAACTCTGGATTTGGGTCGAGAGCATGGCCCAAATGGGAGGGAGCCGAGCACCATGTGGCCAAAAGAGCGGGTGAGAATGTGGGATTGGCCAAGTGGGACTGGCCAAGTGGATTGCGGTGCGGATGGGCGAGTTGGCCAGGCCAACAGACCAACAGGCCAACACACAAGCCAATTCCCAGAACGTCAGCATTGCACTTTGCCGCAGCTGTGATTTCAGTAATGGTTAATTAAAGTTATCGCACATCGATGTGCAGAAGGGGACCAGCCACTGCATATAGGGATTGCCTTTCGATTTGGCCATCTGTTTGTAAAATTATTTTCATTTACTTAAATTTGAATCTATTTTATTGTTAATTACTTTTATTATTTAATGATAACTTATTAAACTTGTTTTTAAAAAAGGGTAATACCCTGTAAGTTATTAAAATGTTTTCCTTTTCTTTATTAGGGGGCTTATTTCATGACAATAATATATCAGCGATCAACAAAAGAGTAGTTCAAGAATAATACCTCACAGTCAAAAATATTTGAAATACAAGAAGCCTTAAAAATAATGTTTAAGTTAACACTACAAAAAGAATATTTGGTAAAAATATCAAGGCTGTAGCTTTACTGCTGTGTGCTCTGTATTGAAGCCCAAAATGGAAATGAAAGTTTTATCCATATAGATTAAGGAACCTAAGGAAAAATCAGAGCTAAACGTTTTCCCACCGGAAAGAGTCAGTAGTCAGTTAATCAAATCAAAATCGGGCCAAAGTTCTTTTGCGAAGTTTTTATGCTTAACGTCGGCATTAGAATTAGCATATATGATATAGTGGACCTGGAGTGGATGGAGGTGGAGGCGGAGATGGAGTAGTGGAGCCGAAGGCGGAGGAGTTAAATACACAAAATTATGCAAGCCATGGGTTCATGCACTCGGGGAAATGGAATCCGTTTAAGTTATGCGAATGCGAATGCGAAAGCGAGACTCCTTCCCCGAGTGTCTGTGTGCTCCACGCGAACCCTTCGAAGCTGTTGCATACTTTAAGGAACCGTATTATGTAATCGGTCCTCGGTTTCGAGACACAAAGAATTACTTCCGCCTGTGCATAAATTTCCGAGAACATCTGCTCGACTTTTGAAGTGATTATTCGGTTTGACGGAGATTATTTAAAGGATTTGGTAGCACAACAAATGTGAGAAGGCGGGGGGTTTTGCTAAAAGAATAGTTAAAATTTTAAACAAGATAAAGATTTTGAAAAAGTATAAAATTAAATGTTGTAGTGTTTATTAATATCTATCGAAATGTAGAAGAAATTTTTCAAATCGGATTATTCAATAAAAAGTTATGACCAAATAATGATATGCAAGCAGTGCAAGCAGTCGCTTTGCTGCATGCATATCTCCGTCTCCCTCGCACTTCCCTTAGCTGAATAACGGGTATCTGATAGTCGATAGTAATTTCTAGCCATCTGACATGTTTTAAAAATATTTAAAAAAATATAATAAGAAACACAAAGCATGAATAATATTTCTTACGAAACTATTTAACCGAATGCCGTTTTTGCCTCATATCTGCGCGGCTTTAAGCCCAACACTTTGACACACATGTGACACAAAGCTGGTGGGAGATGGGCAGATGCAGATCCATAGATGGATGGATGGAGAGCGAGTGATAGGGAAGCGCTCTTTATTTTTCATTTTTATGCAAATTTCCGCAATGCTCCACTCCACGGAAAACTGCTGCCCTGCTGCCTGGATGCCCTCGCAGGCTGTCAGGCATTTGTCAGCATAAAGAAGACATCACAAAGGGGGCGTGGTTTGGTGGTTTTTTTTTCGGGGGCGGTGGGTGGGTGGGTTGGCAATGTAGCATTATGCGTAAGCAAAAAAGACGCGCATGTTTGTTTAGCATGCATTTTACATGAGGAGACACCAGCACCGCAACGCAGACATGTTACGTGCCGAATCCACTCTGAAAACACTCCACATGGGAACTTCCTGTCAGAGTCTGCTGTCACATCTAACTGGTTCATCATGATTAACAAGTCTTGGCCGCCTGCTCCCCCCGGAACAAACAAACGAACGAATGAACGAACAAACAACAAGCATTTTATCCTTCCATCCATCCTTTCATTATCGCCAGCATCCCCATTCCCATCACAACCTCCGCCTCTGCGAACAAATTAAAAATGTAAGAAAACATATGGGTGATGAGATGGGATGGAATGGAATGTGATGTGTATGTAATGCTGCAGCAGTTGATGACTTACTTAGGCGCAACTCATCAACGAGCAGATCCCATGAAGGATGTGGTAACCCAACGAAAAGTGCACCCTTTTACATTTAAATTATGTATTATTTAAGTATGTTTTTCCTGAATGGTAAATTTATAATACTTTAACTAGTAAGCAAAATCCAGTATTTAGTTGTGAGGGGATTTTTTTATAATAAAATTTAGGTTGCATACTTTTTGAATACCACATTTCCTTTTAATTTTACTTTTATTAATATTAATTATATATATTTCGAATATCAATGTGGAAAATATTATTATAAAAAGTTCAATTTCTATATTCTATCATATATTATCAAAAATCTATCATCCCTTCCACTCAAACAGCTGAATATAATGATATTGCTGGCCCACCTCGGGATACCTGCTCCTAATTCACTCATTTCCGAGGGCATTCCCAACTGAGGCGAGAGTACATTGCAAAACGGAATCCATCACGAGATTCACAATTTCCCGCAACGTGGAATGGCACGGTAGACATTTGATGGAGTCAAAGGGGCGTCTGCGTCAGACATTTTATGACCCGATTAACTCCCAGGAGGAGGATGGGCTAGGGGATTGCTGGATGGTAGCTGGGCAAATCCAAAGTGGAGCAGCAGCTGCCAGAAGTTAAACACTCGCCGCCCTGTGCAGCAAACTTTGCAAGGAAGGAAGGAGCAGGAAGAACTGAATGAAAATGTTAAGCCATTTAGATAGCAAAACTACCAAGATGAAAGTTTGTGGACATAGGAGGCGAATAAACACGACCGAGGAGAAAAAGAAAAGGGGCATGGCGAGAGATAAGGCGCAGGGAAAGTTTGGCAGCAAAGCAAATTAAGAGCAAAGCTTTTTTTTTTCAAAATTATGGTGATGCTCTGAGTCGGATTTGCAACACCAGGAAAAAGGGTGAAGAGGTTGCTTAAAAAGATGAGCTGCTCCCAAGGGACTTGTTCTTCAGAGAAGCTTGTGCCTTAAACATTTCATAAACTATTTTCCATCCACATCGATGACATTTGTCGCTTCGCACCTTAAAATCGAATTTTCATCTTGCCCATCATGCTGAAATTGATTTCACACCGCAAATTGAACAGCAATCAAATCCGGTCACCTCCCGATTTCATCTCACTCCGTCGGGATTCAACCGCAAGCGGATCCTTCTGCCCCAACTGCTTATTCCTATCTACCTCAGGTTAGCTGGCAATTTAATTAACAGTGTGGTCGGCTTCTGACTGAGTATCTGGGGTTTAACCCGAAACGATATAACTTAAAATTTAAAAGAAAGATATCTGTAAACTTAACATTAAAACATACGGTTTTATAGAAATTCAGAGTTTAAAGCGTACCTTAAGCTAAATGAGTGTGCGAGCAATGAAGATATGCAAGCGGCATAGCAAAAAGTCGCTTAAAAGTGGCGCCACCTATCGGAAAATTTATTATTTGTCCATAACTTTTTAACGAATGGTCCGATTTAAAAAATTCTTTTTACATTTTGGTTGGAATAACTAAACCAAACGCTTCCTTTTACATACTTTTCAACTTTACTTTAATAGGTGTTATTATAAAAATGTTTAAGTTTAAAGTTACAAAGATTAACAGCCAAAAATCATCCGGTTGGGATTTTAAAATACATTTCTTTAGCT